CAGTCACATGCTTTTATAACTTACGCTCAGAAAATTAAAAATTTTCAAAAACAGGGAGTATTGATTCTTGCTAACTTTTCATCAGATTACGTTTTGACATCCCGAAGTATTGTGAAATTAGAATAGCTTCCTGGTGCATTTGTGTGTGTGTGTGTGTGTGTGTGTCTGTGTGTGTGTGTGTGTGTGTGTGTGTGTGTGTGTGTGTGTGTGTGTGTGTGTGTGTGTGTGTGTGTGGGTGTGTGTGTTGGGTGGGTGCGCGTTCGCGTGCGTGTGCGCGTGCGTGCGTGCGTGCGTGTTGTGTGCGTGCGTGCGTGTTTGCGTGCGTGCGTGCGTGCGTCGTGCGTGCGTGCGTACGTGCGTGCGTGCGTGCGTGTGTTTCATAAGTTCCTCCTTTCATAAGTTTTGCGGCGTTCTAAAGATCTCAATGTGGAATAGTTTTGGTGATAATATGAACTTATTCGGACGAGTAGATTTTGAGAAATCTCTTAAATAAAAATTATGAAAAAATGTCTTTTCGGAATAACTTTTAAATGCCTTTACCGACCTATTTCAAAAACTAATCAGCTCATAATCTAAAAAAATGACGTCGAATGCCGCTTGGAAAATAAAAATCGGTGCATTCGTTCGTGAGATATTGAAGGAGAAAGAATTTGAAAAAAAAATACATGTTTTTTTTTAACATGACTTCGAGATTTCGCAAAATAATTTGGTGAAATTAGGAGTGCTTTGCGTTTTAAATTAGTAAGAAGTTCCAGGGATGGCCTGCAGGGTCAACCAATTATTTAGCAGGAAGTTAAAAAATTAAACCTTGTACTCAGAAATACGCACAGCGTATACTATATCATGTGCATAAAATAATATATTGTTATGATCATAAGCCACAATATTTTCGCGTTTAATTGTGGCTAAGTTCACAAACCATCTAAAGAATCTGTCCATAATGCGCTCTGAAGCAAATTGAGCATCTATACATAAACTCGTACTGTATACATGGGATGCAGAAGCGTAACATTCATTACAGTACTAGACTCTGTAGATCTAAGCCCAAGGTAATTATTGCAATTAATTTCAAGCTTAATATTTATTCAACTAGGATTAGTGATCAAAGCCCAAACTTCAGACGCTATTACGCATTTGATGCGTAGCAGGATTCCATATTTAGGTATAACGCGGTAGTTATTTTATTTTTTAAATTTTTGAAGTCAGTGTTTATTTTCATAAAATTTATTTATTTTAACCCTTTTAAGTAGTGTCAATCCAGAATTTCGTTTAACGTTTCATTGATATTTTCACCTCTATTATCCCACCCTTATGAAAGGAAACAAAAAAACTGAGGTTGCCCACCCGCTTTCCAAATGTGGTAACTGTAGCAAATCTATCATCCTCCTATGTAGCAATATGTATATGTGGGAGTCCTATGTGCAGCACTGTAGATATTTTAATATACTGTAACGGCAAAGGTAGTAAGGATACAAAATGAATACAACTAAAGTAAAATAAAAAAAAACACGAAATAAATCGAACCTTATAAAAACAATCTAACAATTAAATTGAAAACGTAAATTGAACCCGTTCGAGTAGCCGACGGATACTATTGTCAGCAATAACAATATTTTTTACTTTTTCAATTTGTACTGTTACACAGTAGTTTTGAATTTGAAAATAAATACTTTAATAAAAATAAAACAAAATGTTTGTGTTGCAAAACACGCAAATTTTTTCAGTAATCAAATGACATAGCATTTTTATTTTGCTAAATAGGTTTAAAATGAAACTGAAATGAAGTAATAATATCATACACATTTTAAGCGAGAAATTATTGTATTGTTTTTCCAGTCATATTCATTTGTTGAAAAGATGCAAGATACTGGAATCACATTTATAAAAGTAGTCAAAGTAGTTTTGTTTATAATATTCTGAACAAAGAAACAAGCTGTTAAGGAAGTTAATTTTTATTTTTTACATTAGGATTTTTTTTTGATTTCAATAGCCTCGCGAATCATCTTTGAAGGGAATACGTGTTCTTTAGCGAGTAATCATTTTAATCTGGAGGTACCCGTGGCATTGTGACGTCGAACACCTCAGCCCCCTCCCCCTACCGCGTGACCTTGGGTGCTGAAAAGTGTTCGTAACGTCTGGTATATACAATAACGTATACACGATAAATTCCGTAAAACCTAATTTTATTTAAATGTGTAGTGTTCGCGTAAATGTAAGAAATCATTAAATAGATAAGTTGAAAGATCGTCATACGAGTATCCCCAACCTCGAGCACAAGTATGCGATGGTGGCATCTGGTGGAGTCGTCGACTATGTGATTTCCATCAATTCGCACCGCAGTGGCCTGACGTGTTATTTTCAAACCCAATATCTCTTCGAAATGAAGGGACAACCTGCGCAAGGGACTCATATTGGCTGTTCCTTTACTAATAAAAGAGGCAAAGCATATTTTGGTTACATCCTGTATACGTCCCACTTCTGCGCACAGGCCTCTCATTTCTGAGAGGAGTTGGTTTTGCTGAAGTATCACAAATTTTGTAAATTTATATAAAGGTTTTAAATTGGTGCAAAAAACATGGACGAATGATAACATCACATAGGTTTTATAGGGGAAGGGTGACAAACGAGCATACAGTCCACCTGGTAGGTGGATACTATGGACCATATACATCAACATTCATCCTCGATTACGAATCAATATTATGCAGTTGCGTTGTTACCCTTGAAATCTAAGATGGGATACCTCGTACCAAGTAAAAAGAGTATCCGGTTCTCTACCTCACTATGCAAAACACAGCATCATTAAGCTGCTATTCTAGGCTCGGATTCTGTGAGAGCGTGGTCATTTCCATCTGTGCTACAACCTTTATATAGTTGCAGAATGGCTCTTCCATGTACAAAATTAAAAATTTGACATAAAACAAAAGCGGAATGTCGAAAATATCTTATTAAAATATTTTCTTTTTGGGTGTGTTATTCATAATATTCCAATAGATTCATTAAAATAACTATTTTCTCATACATATTATTTGATAAGAAATTTATATTGGGTATTTTTGATAAACGGATTTTCTTGTATTTTCTTATCAAAGCAAAGTAAAAATAAATAATTATTTATTATTTTATCATCAATTACTATTCTGTTTTTTTACGAATACATGACAAGACAATACACTTCTAAATTAAAAACAACATTCAACGTCAGAATTTTCAACACTATGAGTGATTTTCCTATAAAACCATATTATATACCGTTAAGACATTAATAGCAACTCTGGTTGGCTAGGTTAAAGGTATAAAAAAATTATTAATACTGTAGTAAATTATGTTCCATTGCGTTTTTATATTTTGTTACTGAATCTATTAAAATACTATAAAATAATTATTACATTAAAGTAATCGAAACATCAGGTGCATTGTAACTAATATATAATTATGACAATAATGCACCCTTTTCACAAATTGTTTTAAAGACACATCCTTGTTTGTGAACATCTATTCGTTTTTAAAGAATCATTGTTAAATATGAACAAACTACGTATATCATTGTTAAAGTAAACCTACATTAAACTTATTTTAGTTGCCCTGAGTTATTAAAATCGTTTAAAGATGATTCATTCATTGTTGTCAAAATTTATTCGTACTAGCAGTTAGCGCTATTTTTCAAATCGACGTAAACAAGTGTTTAGGATATTATTAATAGCGGTAATTCATTTTTGACCGTGTAATGGTGATGTAAGAATATACATAACCTTATATCATGCCACGGGGTCGCGGGGCCCTTTAAGAAAAATCAAAATAATTTTTTTGTTTGTATTTTAATATATATAAATATTTTAATATTAATTATGTACCTAAAGCCAAATAAAATCGGAAGAACATGTTGCAAAATCGAATTTTAAAAGCAATTACTCAATATTCAGCAAGACAAAAGAGAAGCAATTAGTTTTCAAAGTGTTTCTACGAAAGAAACCAGTTTACTGCAGTATCCAAGAACATTCTCAATTTTCAGTGGACTTACACCTAATTAATTTTCTTTAGTTTGAAAATAAATATGAAATTCTACTTTTATTAGTAACTCGTATGGTTCATTAAACTTTCAGTGTTATTATATACAATGCAGATGTTAATTTTTAAAATTTTCTGTTGTTGTTATATTCAATCAGTTACAAGAATATAGGTCAATAAAAAGGAAGTAAACAATAATAATTAACGATATTTATTTATTGAAGATAGTATAGATGTAGGTGTCTAAATGCGATAGCATCCACTTACCATCAGGTGGACTGTGTTCGTTTGTCACCGTCTGTGCTCGCGTTGGTCCAGCGCACGAGGATGGCTTACAGGGACAGGGGGTCGCCCTCTTCACCGGCGCATTCCGCGTTGTTAGTGACGATTTTAAATATTATTCGAATAACTAATAATAATAATATATACTGTATCAAGCATAGCTCTATCTATAGCTCGCTAAACGGCCTTGAGCTTCCTCATACGGCCAGCAGAGAAGGACCAAATGTTACTCGTAGATCCATAGGTCATCACTGGCAACACGTACTGGATGCACAATCTTGTTTTCAAGTTTTAAAGTATACCTGACGAGAAGATGTGTCGTAATTTTCTGAACGCTACCCAGCTGAGTTGAATCCGTCGGTTGACCTCTCAGTCATAGTTGGACTTATCTTGTCAGACTATTTTCACAGGTAAATAGGCGTATAATAAGCTTAAGCGAAGTATTTACTTCGACACCAGAAGAAAGTTTTTCGAACGACGACGTGTCACCCACGAGAAGGAACGAAAAATACAGAAAAAATAAATTATTAGTGGAAAAATCAAGTAAAGAATGCACTAGCAGATTTTTGTAAGTACCGACAAATAGTAAATCTTCTACTGGATCAGGAAGGCATAAGGAGAATGTGGAAGCTCAAGCCCCGGTCTGTTCTGATTATAACTTACCGAATAACACTCTTAGGGTCCTAGGAAGTAATTCTAGAGAACCAAAAATGATTTACCCGGATCCACCGAAAAAAATATCAAAAACGATGAAGAAATTCCTACGTAACAAATACAAGAACAAATTCAAAGTAAATTCTAAAATAAATGAGAAGGCAATCAGTAAGTTGACAACGACAAGGAGCATACTAAAGGATAACCGTAGTGGCCTCGAGTGTACCGGTGACTCTACAGACGAAACTGATAAATTATAATGCAGCTGGTGAAGTTGTATCATTGGAAATGGATTTTGAGTCACAAAGTAATTATGTGAAGCAGACACCAGATAAAAACGTTTCCTTCAACACGCAAGTGATGATTATTCACTTTACAGGAGATGTGTGCGTTGGGCAAAGTATTGAAGAACTCAGCAAAGAGAAGGACCAACAGGCGAGGTATTCTGAACGTCGGAAAACATTCCTCACCAAATACGACGAGTTTTGGCCCACGAAAAAGTAACATGCACTTATAAATTTCACTCATACAATATTTATTTATTATCTGTACTCTTGCACGACGTGATTATTAGTGTTCAAAGTTTTTTTCGTAAAATGATTTAAATCAAGTAGAAAATGTTAACAAAATTTACATTCATTGACAATAAATGTACCAAAAAATGTTAGAAAAACAGTTTCCCTTCGGCTATATCACCACTTACCATCATGTGGGATAGTAGTCTAGCACTGACTTAAAATAGTAAATTAAAATAAAAAATCTTTAATATAATGGATTCCTACAAAGTAACGACTGATTCTATTAACTTACCTTTTCAAAGTACCCTGAACTCACCAGTAAATCTCCAGTGTTTGAAAATTTTCGTGGGGGAAGATGATCACTTACCAATAGGTGACCCATAATCTCGGCGGTCTCCTCATCCATAAAATAAACACATAGCTGACGTGAAACATCAACGTTCCGGAAAGTCTGCAGTTTGTGATCATATCCTAGATGGCCCCAACCATTACATCAGATTTGATAGACCACAAATCCTCGCGGAAGAACATCGATTCATACCAAGGTTGATACATGAGGCTATTGAAATTAAAAAAAACATCCTAATTTCAGTAGAGAAGGAGGCTGGATACTACCACCTGCTTGGGTTCCTACAATTAATAAAATTAAAACTAAACCCAAGCATACCACTGCAAGACTTTAAAACACAGTTAGTTCATTCTGCGTAGATCGGACCAAAGACAATAATTAAAAATCTGAAGGCACTCCGGGTTAACTTTGACATCGGGACGTCAGTCAACTCAGTCCCTCGTGACCATGGGTGCTAAAATAAATAAAACGCGGTAAAATCCGTAAATAGTAGTTTAATCAACATACATTTTTAATGACTTCTTATTTATTTTATAAGGTACACTGGCATAACTATTATATTACCAATATCCCTGTAAACCACTCTAGGTAAGCTTAAAATACTTGTGTTAAGAGTGGTTCACGACAGTGGTCGAATGGTTTTGAGCCCACCGTACTATAAGAGAAACAAACCAGGAAATGCCCAATTCCTGATTTTTTCAGCATCTTCCCCTTGATTCCATCCCGACTGACTGGTGTGGAAACCATGGCAATTATCTCCCTATGTCTTTTTTGGGCGGTATGACAGCGACACAAAATATGCTTGGCATAACGAGACAACATCGAAAGCATATTTTGCAATTGAGACTCTTTCGATATTCAACACGACGCAACAGCGTTACGATTCGTCCGTCTTACGACGTCAAAGTGTTGTAGGTATTGTCATTTGTCGTAGGACATCTCTAATCATATATAAAAATTAATATTTTGTTTGTTCTTTATTTTATGCTATAGCATTATCAGAGTGCGCTAAAGCTTTGTCAACTTATTAGATACTCTTATGCGAAGGTTATAGACATAGCTGGACCCGGTAGATGGTGCTGCTTTAGAATCCAGATATCACCCGTGCGAAGCCGGGGCATATCGCTCGTTTGTTGTAATATTAACTATGAGTAATAAATACTTGTCCGAAATGATTTCGTTCTGTATATAGATGTACAAGATTGAAATAATACTAGTTTTTACGGATTTTATCGCGTATATTTAACTATAAATACCCGACGTTTCGAGCGCTTTACAGCACCCGTGGTCACGGGGAGGACTGAGATGTTCAACGTCCATATGTCATAGTTAACAGCGGTTACCATAGATAAAAATTTAACTTTTGTTCCGATCTACACAGTATGAACTTATGGTATCTTGAATTCTTGCAGTTGTATGCTTGGGTTGGGATTTAATTTTATTTATTATAGGATCCCAAGCAGATGGTAGCACCCAGGCATCTTCTCTATTAAAATTAGGATGTTTTTGATTTCAATAGCCTAGCCATGGAAGGAATCGATGTTCTTTAGCGAGGATTTGTGGTATATCAAATCTGATGTAGTGACGGGGGCGATTCTGTACGTGTTCACAGTACACTGCAGACTTCCCGGAGCGTCGATTCTTCACATCAGTTATATGTTCTTTAACGCGGGTTTTAATTGATCTTTTAGTTTGTCCTATGTAGGAGAGACCACACTCACAATCAAGCTTGTACACTCCTGCATCTTTCAGAGGGACGTTACACTTGACTGATGGTAAAAACTGACCAATCTTCTTCGGCGGCTTGAAGTATGTTTTGATGGAAGCGCGCTTCAAGATGTAGCCAATCTTGTCAGTGACTCCTCTAACATATGGCAGTACAGCAGGTACACGCTCGACTGTGTCCGGCTTCACTGTGACGTAGGCGCGGCACCAAAGCTTGTTTTCATGCAAAACTTGCTTGACATGGTGGAGCTCGGCAGCCAGGTGTTTACTGTCACAGATCCCTCGTGCTTTCTGAAACAAAGATTTACCCACAGTAGCTAACTGTGAAGGATGGTGGTGAGAATCACCGTTTAAATATCTGTCTGTATGGGTCTTTTTTCTATACACAGTTTGGCTCAAGGTGTTATCAAGATTCCGAATTACTAACACATCTAGAAAAGCTAAAGAATTTTTTGCCTCTAACTCCATTGTGAACTGAATTTTAGAATTTATAGAGTTGAGATGGTCTAAAAATGCAGTTACTTTATCGGTAAATGCAGTTATTTTATTTTAATGTGTAGTGTTCGCGTAAATATAACAAATCATTATGTACAAGATTGACAATCATAGAAATATAAACAACAGGAGAAGTGGCAAGGGGGCGTGTCTGTGTCCGCGCGCTATTATCAAAATGCTCAGCTTCTATACAAATGGCCGTCCATGCGAATTAGTGCGCTGTCGACCGTCATCGTGAAATATTATCAGAATACCATGTTGTTCAGTGGTTTCTTGTAAAAACCGAAGCTAAAACAAAAACTTTGTTAATCATGAAATCACTTACCATACCTAAGTAAAAGTATTTAATTATATTTGTCTTTAAAATCATATTAAACAGCAAATCGTTAAATATTTCTTGCTCTTACTACGTTATTTTTGATTTCAAATATCACAGTCACTGTAATATTTTTGCAGTAAATACATTGCTCCATAACCAGTACCTTAGTATGACGCCAAGTGACTGAACAAGCAATGTAAATATCACAAAATGATACTTTATTTATGCAGATATATGGCGTAGTACGGCCGCTGTATCCTGCGACGAGCTAGTTATGTGCTTGTGTAGATCTACTATCGACAATAATGTGGATTGGTGAATTGTTATTATAGTTTATTCTCCAATTTGTCAACCGTTTCAACCCGATAGGAAGACCGACGTGACACAATCTTTTTTACTTATTTTAATTATTTTACAGCAACTACTACGCTGAATGCGTAACCAACGATCGTGAAGTAAGTTGATTAAATTTTAGGTTATTATTACATTTTTACCTACATATTAATTACTTTTATTACACTATTCTCTGGACATGTAGTATTTTGTTTATTTTATATTCAGGGCCCAAAAAAATTTTAGTACAATTTTGGTATAAATGAAACAATCGTTAAATTTCCAATTTAGTCAATCACTAACGTATATGTAAAATAAATGGCTTTTTTACAGCACAACGATAGTGACCGATATTTTTGTGTAAGTGGCACGATGAATGGTAAATGCACGCTGTGCTTTCAGAGATATGGTTTAAAATTGATTGTGCAGTACGTTCTGATTTATCAAATGCGAGTGTGTGCGCGACTGTGTATCTATTGCTTTTACTGATGTGCATATGTAGTAGTTGGCGCGTGGGCCAACTGGAGACACCGGATTCCGATACATTTTCAACTACTGAGCATATCTCCTTATTTCTTATATCTATGTTGACAATATTGTTAAAAAAAATGAAAAGTATCACGTGCCAAATCAAGTGATGTCAGCAAGCAACTGTAATTTCGTATCGGTAAGACTTTGCTGAGGTGCATCGCTGTCGTACCAAATAATCAAGAAGCGACCTTAATCGCAATTTTATTTGCCTTTTGCAAAGATAAAATTGTATGCAAACTTACATACCGAAAAATCAAAATTATCTTTTCACGGAATATAACAATTATTTTAATTTTATTATTTTTTTATTTAATTTTTATTAATTTAATTTACGGATTTTATCGCGTTTAATTTCATTTTTTAATTCCCAACGTTTCGGGTACTTTCCAGTGCCCATGGTCACGGGGTGAAAAATAAAATTAAATTTATTCCATGTGTAATATCAGCGTAATTATAAGAAATCATTAATTTCTGTTCATCTCGCCATACCGAAATGCTGTCCGCATGCCAGATCTTAGCCCACCTGTTATTAAGGCTTTTTGTACACTCTTATTTAATGTGCTCGGAAATATCCAGTAAATGTGTTAATGATTACATTTACGGTTGTTGTCTTACTAAAACTAATTACATTAAACAACAATATATATTGTAATTGTGTATAACTCTTAAAAGCATTTTCTTGTTTTCTGCGCTATGAAAGAGAAGTAATTAGCCACTGGAGCGTTAGTAAGACAAAAGCTACATAAATAGAGTAGTAAACATGACGACTTGACATGTATGATGTATAATTTTTTAAGATATTGTATGGGAGATTTTACAATATTATTATCATCGTCATAACAAGAGCCGTATTAACTTAGATCATTAGCGCTCGTTGTAAATTTCACAGTACGCAAGCAAACTGGGTTCGATCCCGCCGGTACCATTGAAATTTTTTATTGCAATTTTAAGTGCTGATTTACCTCGTGCTCGGCGATGACGGAATACATCGCGAAGAAACTTTCATGTCTGAAAAATAAGAAACAAATATTTTAAAGCGATGTGAAGTTCGCCAACACGCTTTGGAGCAGCGAGACGGACACTTCCATGCCCTAAAATCCTCTCAGAAATTAGGGGAGGCCTGTGCCCAACAGTGGAACGTATATATTCTGTAACTTAAACATTTTAACTTAAATATCATTACAAGTTTTTACAAGCTCTTTGAAAGTCCGCAAAGTGGTGTAAAATATATTAT